GTACCCAAACTCATGGCGGAGAGAAGAACGCAATGCCGTAAAATTGGCGCCACTTTCAGTCTTCATTCACTTTCCTGCAACACTCCGAACTAAACTGTCAGTCTTACCCGCCTCTTCCTAATCACTGGTGATCCCGCAACAGATATGATCCCCATCAAAACTACTCGTTCGTGTGGTAACGCCATGTTAATTCTTTTTTTAATCGAATTCACCCTATGGAAGACATTAAAGCCACTAAGACATAAGAGCGTACCTGGTATGAAAGAATTAGAAAACAAAATCATCGTTACGGAGATTACAATATGTTGTAGAGTAGTTTTCACAGTGGAGGCTTGTATTTCGATAAGTTGGTCCTAAAAGGGTCCGACGTACAAAAACGTTAGGAACTTGAAATAAGAGTTAATGACGCAGCAATCTAGTTGTGATGGTTGATACTTCAATGTCCGACATCGACTGACTCACTCAACTCCACTGAGCTCAACTGGCGACCGCTACTACTACTACTACTTATTATGTGTGGGAGATCTATTAATAATAGAATAGGTACGTTCAGGTATAACACAATAGAAGTGTAATTATGAAGACTTAGATAACAATTGACACTGCATTTAAATTTTTGAAGATCAATGTTGGCTGGAAAGCAAAGATCCGGAAGAGTGTTCCACAGGTGAGAAGTGAGCGAAAAGAAATTGTTAGCATAGAACTTCCGGTTATAGTTAATAAATTCAACTATAAATTGATGAGAACTTTTTTTCCAATCTAATACTGCGCTTAAACTCTTGAAGTCTAGGTACGTAAGAGAACAGTTCATCAGAACAATTACCATGAAAGTGTTTATAGAAAAGTCAAAGAGAGGCTACGTTACACCGGTGGGAAATTAACTGAAGCCGTGATACCAGGTCAAGACCAATACCATTGCAGAATTTTCTTTGAGTTTTATCAAGAATCTCCAAATATATTGCAGGAGCACAAGACCATATGCGGCAGCAATATTCAAAGCATAGAAAAATGGTAGATTTAAAGATATGTAAGTTAGACTCTGGAGAGAAATATTGTCTACAAAAACGCAGTGAACCAAATGTCTTAGCAACATATTTAGCAATGTACTCAATATAGTTTTTCCACTTCATGTCAGCCGGAAATATCAACCCGAGAAGAAGCAACGAACTACTTTACTGAAGTTTAGCATCAGCCATGCTGAATCTAGATAGGGGTCTTCCAGATGATTAATATATATGTAAGGTCCTTCTATATGGAGAAATGGCCACTGACAAGAGGTTACGACGATGATCTCATTTTCGCTTCAAGGGCGTCTGGAATATGAGGGCATCGCCAAAGATCACTCACACTGGAGACTCGATTTTCACCGTGGGCTGGAACGGGAAGAAAAGAAAGTGAGGCTTGCCACCGGGGAGACATGGGAGGAGAGCGTCTTCACATACAGTGGTTGCAATCGAGTGTGTCATTCCCATGTGGGCCAGTACAGTCATAAAATATGCCACCAGGGCTGAATCATAACACTTTGGGCACAGATCCATAGTCTCTCAAGATTTACGAATGCCAGACCCCACCCAATATATATATATATATATATATATATATATATAATGAACATGAAGTCAAAACTTAGATGCGACAGTCTGTTTCATGCTAGATGCAATCGTGGCCTGACGATTACGCCTAGCATGAAACAGACTATCGCCTCTAAATGTTGACTTCAATGTTCCTTTTATATTACGCTCTATCTCTGATATTGAGCACTTTATCCATAAATATATCACAAATTAAGATTATATTTCTTCATATATATATATATATATATATATATATATATAAACATAAAAACAGGCAGCATATAATTTATATACAAAAAATAATCACGCATAAAATCAATCAGCAATAATAGCATTAATATTGCTGATTGATTCTATACGGTATATATATATATATATATATATATATATATAAACATAAAACATTAGGCAGCATATAATTTATATACAAAGCAATAATAGCATTAATATTGCTGATTGATTCTTTAATATATATATATATATATATATATATATATATATATATATATATATATATATATATATATATAAACATAAAACATTAGGCAGCATATAATTTATATACAAAAATAATCACATAAAATCAATCAGCAATAATAGCTGATTGATTCTATACGTCATTTATTCTTTTTATATATATATATATATATATATATATATATATATATATATATATATATATATATATATATATATATATAAACATAAAACATTAGGCCTCATAAAATCAATCAGCAATAATAGCATTAATATTGCTGATTGATTTATATGTGATTTATTCTTTATATATAGTATATATATATATATATATATATATATATAAACATAAAACATTACATAATTTATATACAAAGAAATAATCACGCATAAAATCAATCAATAATAGCATTAATATTGCTGATTGATTCTCAGTTATTCTTTTGTATATATATATATATATATATATATATATATATATATAAAACATAAGGCAGCATATAATTTATAGGCATAAAATCAATCAGCAATAATAGCATTAATATTGCTGATTGATTCTATGATGGTTATTCTTATATAAAACATTAGGCAGCATATAATTTATATACAAAAGAAATAATCACGCATAAAATCAATCAGCAATAATAGCATTAATATTCTTGCTGATTCTTTTGTATATATATATATATATATATATATATATATATATAAACATAAAACATTAGGCAGCATATAATATACAAAAGAAATAATCACATAAAATCAATCAGCAATAATAGCATTAATATGATTGATTCTTCTTTGTATATATATATATATATATATATATATATATATATATATATATATATATAAAACATTAGGCGGCATATAATTTATATATAAAAAAAATAATCACGCATAAAATCAATCAGCAATAATAGCATTAATATTGCTGATTGATTCTATAGTTATTCTTTAATATATATATATATATATATATATATATATATATATATATATATATAAACATAAAACATTAGGCAGCATATAATTTATATACAAAAATAATAACGCATAAAATCAATCAGCAATAATAGCATTAATATTGCTGATTGATTCTAAATATATATATATATATATATATATATATATATATATATATAAACATAAAAAACATTAGGCAGCATATAATTTATATATTTAATCACGCATAAAATCAATCAGCAATAATAGCATTAATATTGCTGATTGATTCTAGTTATTCTTTATATATATATATATATATATATATATATATATATATATATATATATATATATATATGCTAAGACGGGTTTCGTTAAATAATTTAAACATGTTCTGTCTACTTATTTTCGATAGGATCCTGTCTATTCGCCGATAAGCTTTTTTGTGCGGTTATTAAAAGATGGGCGGAAAACACTGTGTTGGCTTATGTATTTATTTCCGAGTAATTTTCGAATGACTACGACACTGTCCTTCACAACCATGAACACTAAATACTCACTCTATAATCAACAATACTCAGATGATGACATTATGCTCTGTATAATATCTTACATTGATTGTATAACTCGTAGTTTCCTTCGTTCTGCATTCTTCGGGTGCAATTTTTTGGATAGACACCGATTCAATAATATTTCTGTTTATCGCGAGATATTTTATTGTAGCGGTACATTATTATTGCTGTTAAAATATTTCAATGAATTGTATTTTAATTTGGAATTTGAATTTAGGCCCAGATTAACATGTAAAACTGAAAATAAGGTTGGAAATAAGAATTATAAATTCGAATTTGAAGAGACAAAAGGGAAACTTTAAAAAGGATGAAACTCTATTTTTCCATGCATATAGATAAAGTAATTAATAATGTTATTAATATTAATATAATAAATAATAATAGTGATATCAATAATAATAAAATATATCAATGAAAATAAAATAAGATAAAATAAGATATAATAAATTACTAACATAAATAACTATATATGTGTGTGTGCGTGTGCGTGTGTGTGTGTGTGTCTGTCTGTGTCATATTTAAGCAGGCGTATCTGTTTCCTGCTTAAAGCCGCATCGTCAGAACTGACGATTATATTTATGCAAGAAGCAGACTGTCGCCTCTGGATGTTCACATCAGTTCCCACTTTTATATTTTCATAAGCTCTATACCTGGTATTGAGCACTTTGACATAAAAATATAGTATACTTAAAACTATTTTTTATCATATTTTATTTTAATTTAACGTCGGCTGTTTGATCAAGGTAAAGCTATCAAACCTATTTTTTTTCTCAAAAATAGAGGAGGTATTTTGCTTTCGAAATTAAATTAATCATCAGTAATTTACAATCGCATGAGGAGACGCATTGATAATCGTCGAAACACGATTGCAGTTGTGTAACGTTTTTGGATATGTTTTTGATTTAATATCCTAAAATAAATAATATTTTGCTCTTCTCTGTACTGAGCCCTCTTTTAAATTAAGTGTTACGAACTTTGGAATTATACTCTATTTGTTCACATCTTACCTGAATATATATATATATATATATATATATATATATATAGAGAGAGAGAGAGAGAGAGATAGTGAGAGAGAGAGATAGTATTGAATGGACTAATTCATAGAATTATTTTAATATATTTTCTGTTCATACGTTATTTTTCTACATACAAATATTTAAGTATATTATTCTGTTTATAATAAACAGTATTATCTAAATTTACCTGTCTGAATGACTGAGAAATTTCATATAAAATATGTGTCCTCCGACAGGAATCGAACCTGCATCCTACATGAGAAATTTGTTGTTAAAAACAGTAACTTGACTTTGCTAACCAGACGCTTCATCTGTAGCTAAATAGTATATCACGTAAGGCTGTATGACAATTCCGAGCAGGATACATATAACATTTATGAATATATATGTATATAAAGAGAGAGCGACAGCCTAAGTTAGATAGGTAGGTTGGTAGATAGATAGATAGATAGATAGATAGATAGGCAAGAAGAATAGAGGAAATGAATATAGGAAGGAAAGCAGGAAGGAACGACCTTAATAGATTGATAGAGAAAGGGTTAGAAAGGACATATAGCATTTATAAATGTCTATGTATATAATGAGATAGATAGAGAGAAAGAGAGAGAGAGAGATTGAGAGAGAAATAAGAGACAGACATAACGTATGATTTTATATGTATATAAAAAGAGAGAGATACAACAGATAGACCGAGATAGATAGATAGATAGATAGATAGATAGATAGATAGATAGAGTTTTCTTTATATGAAATTAGACTATCAGGCAATAAAGAAATAGGTGGATATTGAAATATGGTTAATTCTTTATTACGATTCGTCTGTGCCGGTCTATTTTGCTACCATTCTATTACTCAACGTCTTTTTCCCACCTTCCTGTATTCCCTTGCCCTACCATGATTGGTTAATTATTTGGCGTGTCAAAGACATGAGTACATAGAAAAGGTGCGCCAAATATAACCAGGCCAGAGTGAATGCCGGACGTTGATTGGTCAATTAGGAGACGAGAGTTTTGTTCAGTACGTTCAGCATAATTCTTTGCCCGTTCCTAAGTGCTATTAGCTGCGAGTTCGCAACATGTGGCCCAAGAATAGATATGCAATCGTTAAAGGTTGTTTCCTGCATATTGATGGAAGATCGGAAGAAAGAAAGAAAGAAAGAAAGTAAGAAAGAAAGAAAGAAAGAAAGAAAAGAAAAGAAAAGAAAAGAAAAGAAAAGAACAATGTAACAATGTCTATGAGACGAAAGGGAAGAGTTATAATGGTCACACATATGAGTCTATAATTGAAAGGAAGAAACGAGGAAAACAAAAGAAAGAAAGAAAGAAAGAAAGAGAAAAGGAAAGAAAAGAAAAAAAAGAAACAATGTAACAATGTCTATGAGACGAAAGGGAAGGGTTATAATGGTCACACATGAGTCTATAATTGAAAAAGGAAGAAACGAGGAAAACAAAAAGAAAGAAAGAAAGAAAGAAAAGAAAAGGAAAGAAAAAAAAAAAAAGAAACAATGTAACAATGTCTATGAGACGAAAGGAAGAGTTATAATGGTCACACATATGAGTCTATAATTGAAAGGAAGAAACGAGGGAAAACAAAAGAAAGAAAAGAAAAAAAGAAAGAAAAGAAAAGGAAAGAAAAAAAAAAAGAAACAATGTAACAATGTCTATGAGACGAAAGGGAAGGTTATAATGGTCACACATATGAGTCTATAATTGAAAGGAAGAAACGAGGAAAACAAAAGAAGAAAAAGAAAGAAAGAAAAAAGAAAAGGAAAAGAAAAAAAAAAAGAAACAATGTAACAATGTCTATGAGACGAAAGGGAAGAGTTATAATGGTCACACATATGAGTCTATAATTGAAAGGAAGAAACGAGGAAAACAAAAGAAAGAAAGAAAGAAAGAAAGAGAAAAGGAAAGAAAAGAAAAAAAGAAACAATGTAACAATGTCTATGAGACGAAAGGGAAGAGTTATAATGGTCACACATATGAGTCTATAATTGAAAGGAAGAAACGAGGAAAACAAAAGAAAGAAAGAAAGAAAGAAAGAAAGAGAAAAGGAAAGAAAAGAAAAAAAAGAAACAATGTAACAATGTCTATGAGACGAAAGGGAAGAGTTATAATGGTCACACATATGAGTCTATAATTGAAAGGAAGAAACGAGGAAAACAAAAGAAAGAAAGAAAGAAAGAAAGAAAGAGAAAGAAAAAGAAAAGAAAAAAAAAAAGAAACAATGTAACAATGTCTATGAGACGAAAGGGAAGAGTTATAATGGTCACACATATGAGTCTATAATTGAAAGGAAGAAACGAGGAAAACAAAAGAAAAAAGAAAGAAAGAAAGAGAGAAAAGGAAAGAAAAAAAAAAAAAAAACAATGTAACAATGTCTATGAGACGAAAGGGAAGAGTTATAATGGTCACACATATGAGTCTATAATTGAAAGGAAGAAACGAGGAAAACAAAAGAAAGAAAGAAAGAAAGAAAGGGAAAAGGAAAGAAAAGAAAAAAAAGAAACAATGTAACAATGTCTATGAGACGAAAGGGAAGAGTCATAATGGTCACACATATGAGTCTATAATTGAAAGCAAGAAACGAGCAAAACAAAAGAAAGAAAGTAGCAACGAAAGGAAGAAAAAAGAACGAAAGAAAGAAAGAAAGAAAGAAAGAAAGAGTGGGTTGTGTCTGCGAGGCAGTAAGGTTAAAACGGTCAAATTAATATGTATATAATTTAAAAAAAATCACGTAAGAAAGAAAAGAAACAAACAAAGTAACAATGAAAGGAAAGGGTTAAAATGGTCACACATATGACTCTATATTTGAAATGAATAAACAAGCAAAACAAATGAAACAAAAAGTCAAAAAAGAAAAAAATGAGCGAATATAGGAAAAAACGTAACATTATTAGCAAGGGAAAGATAGATGCACGAGGAAGAAAAAAAGAGAGAGATTAAACCGATATAAAAAGAATTATTGGATAAAAGACATGATTAATAAAAAAAATTGATGTCAAGAAAGAAAACAAGTTAAAAAATATAAAATAGAATTGGAAAAATATTGTGTAATATATTCCCAAATCTGACAAGAAAAATATAATTAAAAATGCTAGCAGGTAAAAACATACTTACCTTATGTAAAATAAACCACACAAACACTTTTAAAACATTTTTAGACTTTTATTAAACTACATACTATCACGACGATCAGACCCCAAACTACAGCCAGTCACGATGAACAGATATCCTCCAATGAGGCACCATGCTTTGAGAGAATATTAGGCATCAAGTGGAACTCTTATATACGATCCATCGCTAAAGATGTAGGTAAAATGATCGGTTCCTTGTAACGCTTCAGTAATTACCTGTCTCCTCATTTTATCCGTTATCTTTACAAGAGCCAGATCAGACCGAAAATGGAGTAGTCATATTTAGGCGGGAGCTGCCCAGTCCTCACTTTCCTGCCTTGATAGACTTTAAAAGCGTCTTTGAGTCCTTGATGTAGAAGAATTATTTTCTACCCTCAACCTTACCCTCACAGGAAGGATGTGCCGAGTCTCTGATTCCTCTGCTGCTATCATGGAAAGTTCTCGAACAAACTATATTCCTTGGTTAAGGCCTAACCTTCAAGCCTAGGACTCGCCATACCATTTACATTGTAGCAAATCACCCACATTCCCTCCGGATTCCATTGTCGAGAAGTTCCACTTGATCAGATTCTTCCTGTGAGCCACTCCTCTGTGGAATAGACTCCCAAGATCATGTTTCTCCGATCACTACAAGCTTAAGCTATTCAAGTTAACCGCTATCTTTCCCCTCATATCTACATATACAGTGTAACCCGGGTATAAGAGAGTTGTCGGGACCGGAGAAGCAGTTTCTTATATCCGGGTTTCTCTTATATCCGAGTTTGGTCTATTTTATATACATTAACACAGGCTCTAATTTGGAACCAGAGAAAATCTCTCTTATATCCGGGTTACACTGTACTACCCCTTTACGTAACCCTGTACAGCGAGTGGCCCCCAGGCCATGTACAGGGTGAATCCTGCTGTAAAAAAGTCATCGTTTCAGTAAGGAGAAGACGAATAACAGCCCTTAAGATGACTTTCGCTTCAAATCTTATAACGTTGACCGAGTCTTGTCATAGAGTTCTTCATTCAGCTCCATGGGTGTACTTTTCTCTTTAATTACCTGCCGGCCTGCTAGAGATTACTAGGGAAAGTAAGAAATTCTAACAGTCAAATGGTTGTGTGGGTAGCGTAAATGTATGTGTGTGTGGGGGGGGGAGTTATACGGAAAGCAGGATCCAAATTCCATCCGGGTCTTGTTGCGTTTAATTCACTTTTGAAGAGCATGAATCTTTTCGCTTCCTCCGACTTCAGCTAAAGTTTAAATAGCAGGGTAGAGTGGTATCTCTAACCTAGAACGCAGCCAATCTAAAAACTGGATAAAAAGCAATGCTTTTAAAGGGGTCATTTTAATTTCAAACCGTATTTATTTAAGGGAAAGACTTGATTAACCTCGTCACTATTGCTTCGCTTGTGCGCGTAGCGTAACGGTTATCAGCCCGGAAAATGGAATCTTTGAGCCGAGTTCAAATTCCGATCAATAACTTGACCACTAATGCCTTTAAGAAATATATAAATACAACTTTTCTCGACGCTATCGCTTAAATATGGCTTAAATAACAGTGTAGACTGAACTCTCTACCCTTGCTTGGCAGCCAGTCTTAGAAAAATATTACAATAAATTAAAAAACCTGGAGAAGGCAAATGGAAACCAACCCACCATCGTCCCCAGTTCCAAGATAATAAAGGAATTGCTGGAGAGACATGATCACCTTAAAAGATATGAGATTAAAAATGTCACTCTTTCTTATATATATATATATATATATATATATATATATATATATATATATATATGATTAATTTACTCCAAGCAAGGAGTAAAAGAGAATGAGAAGACTTTAAAAGGAAACAGAAACCTAATCCTAAACAGTAAACAAGGGATAAACTTCGACTACTCTTCAAAAGACTGGGGAAGAGAGTTAGCCGGACGATAAGCGAGCATATCTGCTCCAATATATATATATTGAGTATATATATATATATATATATATATATATATATATATATATATATATATATATATATATATATATATATATATATATATATATATATATATATATATATATATATATATATATATATATATATATATATATATATATATATTATGTATATATTCGGACTACATGTGTCAGGATTATGTTGCTAGTGTTATTTACTATATATAATTAGGTATATTTACTAAACTTAGTGAATGCATTTACTAATTATAAGGTTAAAAATCGCGAGTGATTTGTAAGGGAAAAATCAATGACACAATTGTCGACTACAAAGCGAAACTTATTTCTGGCGCAAGGCCACAAGTATGGCCAGCCCAGTAAGGATCAAAATCACTCCTAATGAGTTACAAGTCCAGCTTTCGAACTTCAACATTTCGATGAGGTGCTGAGATCAAATTATTTTGTGGTAAATGGCTAGCGGTGGTATAAATTAATCAATTAATAATTTAAAAATATATATATATGGTTCCGTTAAAATATAAATTCTTCAGAATATTTGAAACCTCATGCTTGCAAAAAATGGAGTGTCAAAAGGACGTATCTTTCATTGACATCGCTATTATTTTAACTACCTTCACTCCGTATCGAGAAAATTGTATGAAAATAATTGTTCGAAAAACAATTATTCAAAAAACATATATTCAAATTGTAAATTGTCTGAATGAAAATTAATCGAAAGGACAATTATACTAAATGTTAATTATTTGAAATGCGTATGTTGTCTTGCTTTGAGAGTCAATAACTAAAAATAATAACTCACTTGAATTATGGCATAGAGCTTTTTTGCAACAAGTGTCATCCCATCATCCCACAATATGGAAATTCTTAGACGCTCTTAAAAGAGAAAAAGAATTGCAAGAAATTCATATTGCAAAAGTAATAGCAGGTTGCCAAAATATCTATTGCACCAAGAAATACTGCAATGTAAATGAAAAACTTTAAACAAATTAGTGACATCCTTTAACGAATACTCTTCAGTAACTGAATATTTGTGTGCAGTATCGTATGACTTAAGATTATAAGGATTTTTCTTACTAAATTGTTTTATTAAGGATATTTGTATTTCGAATAATTATCATTTGTGGCATATCCACTTTTAGATTTTACATTTTTATTGCAATAAAGAATTTTGCCTTTCGAATAATTATAATAATTATTTAGTATAATTGTCCTTTCGATTAATTTTCCTCCATACAATTTACAATTCGAATAAATATATTTTTTCGAATCATTGTTTTCGAACAATGTTCACATAATCCCTTCACTTCGCGTCATTGTTTATTGCTCTGAAAGCGATTATTAAAATTGTAATAAAACTTGAACATATTACGAAAGTCAACTTAAATATTTTTTTTCGTCCTTGACAATTGACAACAAAAATAATAAATACTATTTAAAGATGCTGCTTACAGTAAAAGAGAAAACAATTTAATAAGGTGAAAGTGTATCACTCAGTCAGTGATAGACGCTTAGGCGATCATGTATCTTTCCATGCATAACTGACAAGGAAGATTTTTTCCAACAGTAGGTTCCCATTCTTTTCTGCGGTAGACCAGTTGCCATCCAAGGCTAATAGAACCAGGTCTGTCCTGCTATTTAACCAAAGCTGGGGGGGGGAATAAGAAGAGGATTCATACCTCTCCGAAGGGTATTAGCACATAAGTGAATGTAATGGATCTGGGTGGAATTCGAACTCGGCTCTCTGATTTCTCAATCCGTAAATTGCTTTGATCTCTAGTTTCACACGCCATGTCTAATGGATGTCAGTTATCTCCTCAAGGACACATGGCACAGTGGATAAAGGCTTTAGTTAGATCCAGTGACAGGATCTAAAGTGTGTGAGTTCAATACCTGGTTAAGGCAGTGGAGAACTTGGAGAGGGGAATTAACAGGAGATTAAATTGTTCTATTTTACCCACAGTAAATTCTTGGCAGATCTTGTATTATCACATAATAGGATACTTAATAATAGAAATGATGAAATCAAAATCAAAAACATAAAGAAACTGATGGAAATTGGCTAGAATACATCTATCCAAACACATTTAAGAAAAAAAACAAAAATTCAAAAGTTTAACATGTCAGCGTTTCCTTTTTATGCATGATTATAACCAATGGTTGCATTCTTTACTCTATTTACATTTTTCGGAATATTGCCCTCATCTTTGTTGCCATATTTATCACAACGTTTCGGCCGCTGTGCTCTTCGACCTTCTTCAGCTTATTTCGCTCGCTAGGGTAGACTGTTCTAGTTCCACGTGCCATGTCTAATGGATGTCAGTTATCAGTTACCCCCTTAAGGACACATGGCACAATGGTTAAAGGCTTTAGTTAAATCCAGTGACAAGATCAAAAGTGTGTGAGTTCAATACCTGCTTAAAGCAGTGGAGAACTTGGAGAGGGGAATTAACAGGAGATTAAATTGTTTTATTTTCACGTGACATGCTTGTTCCGGTTACCTCAATCTTACTCAACTCTCAAAGTTTTTTATTCACCGTTGCAGTAGCCAGGTATTGAACTCACAACTCTTTAGGTCAAATCATTTGATCCAACCAGCGCTTTTATCCACTGGGCCATGTGTCCTTTAGAAGAATCTACCCCGGTAGACGAAATAAAGGGTTCAGTTCAAAATCCCACTCACCTGAAGAAGGCCGGAGCGTACAACAACTGAAAC